ATGCCTAATTTGGTTCCATTTGCTTGATTAGTTCTCGAGTTATGCAGAAATTTCTGTTTCATTTGTATAGGAGCCCCCCCTTACAGAAGAGGGAGGGGTCTCGAACCATCATAAGAACCTTCGAGCCCCCCCTTACAGAAGAGGGAGGGGTCTCGAACCATCATAAGAACCTTCCACGGCCCCAAAAACCCCTGTATACAAATTTTCACGCCAATCGGTTCAGTAGTTTCCGAGTCTATAAGGGTAAGACAGACAGACAGACAGACAGACAGACAGACAGACAGACAGACAGACAGACAGACAGACAGACAGACAGACAGACAGACAGACAGACAGACAGACAGACAGACAGACAGACAGACAGACAGACAGACAGACAGACAGACAGACAGACAGACAGACAGACAGACAGACAGACAGACAGACAGACAGACAGACAGACAGACAGACAGACAGACAGACAGACAGACAGACAGACAGACAGACAGACAGACAGACAGACAGACAGACAGACAGACAGACAGACAGACAGACAGACAGACAGACAGACAGACAGACAGACAGACAGACAGACAGACAGACAGACAGACAGACAGACAGACAGACAGACAGACAGACAGACAGACAGACAGACAGACAGACAGACAGACAGACAGACAGACAGACAGACAGACAGACAGACAGACAGACAGACAGACAGACAGACAGACAGACAGACAGACAGACAGACAGACAGACAGACAGACAGACAGACAGACAGACAGACAGACAGACAGACAGACAGACAGACAGACAGACAGACAGACAGACAGACAGACAGACAGACAGACAGACAGACAGACAGACAGACAGACAGACAGACAGACAGACAGACAGACAGACAGACAGACAGACAGACAGACAGACAGACAGACAGACAGACAGACAGACAGACAGACAGACAGACAGACAGACAGACAGACAGACAGACAGACAGACAGACAGACAGACAGACAGACAGACAGACAGACAGACAGACAGACAGACAGACAGACAGACAGACAGACAGACAGACAGACAGACAGACAGACAGACAGACAGACAGACAGACAGACAGACAGACAGACAGACAGACAGACAGACAGACAGACAGACAGACAGACAGACAGACAGACAGACAGACAGACAGACAGACAGACAGACAGACAGACAGACAGACAGACAGACAGACAGACAGACAGACAGACAGACAGACAGACAGACAGACAGACAGACAGACAGACAGACAGACAGACAGACAGACAGACAGACAGACAGACAGACAGACAGACAGACAGACAGACAGACAGACAGACAGACAGACAGACAGACAGACAGACAGACAGACAGACAGACAGACAGACAGACAGACAGACAGACAGACAGACAGACAGACAGACAGACAGACAGACAGACAGACAGACAGACAGACAGACAGACAGACAGACAGACAGACAGACAGACAGACAGACAGACAGACAGACAGACAGACAGACAGACAGACAGACAGACAGACAGACAGACAGACAGACAGACAGACAGACAGACAGACAGACAGACAGACAGACAGACAGACAGACAGACAGACAGACAGACAGACAGACAGACAGACAGACAGACAGACAGACAGACAGACAGACAGACAGACAGACAGACAGACAGACAGACAGACAGACAGACAGACAGACAGACAGACAGACAGACAGACAGACAGACAGACAGACAGACAGACAGACAGACAGACAGACAGACAGACAGACAGACAGACAGACAGACAGACAGACAGACAGACAGACAGACAGACAGACAGACAGACAGACAGACAGACAGACAGACAGACAGACAGACAGACAGACAGACAGACAGACAGACAGACAGACAGACAGACAGACAGACAGACAGACAGACAGACAGACAGACAGACAGACAGACAGACAGACAGACAGACAGACAGACAGACAGACAGACAGACAGACAGACAGACAGACAGACAGACAGACAGACAGACAGACAGACAGACAGACAGACAGACAGACAGACAGACAGACAGACAGACAGACAGACAGACAGACAGACAGACAGACAGACAGACAGACAGACAGACAGACAGACAGACAGACAGACAGACAGACAGACAGACAGACAGACAGACAGACAGACAGACAGACAGACAGACAGACAGACAGACAGACAGACAGACAGACAGACAGACAGACAGACAGACAGACAGACAGACAGACAGACAGACAGACAGACAGACAGACAGACAGACAGACAGACAGACAGACAGACAGACAGACAGACAGACAGACAGACAGACAGACAGACAGACAGACAGACAGACAGACAGACAGACAGACAGACAGACAGACAGACAGACAGACAGACAGACAGACAGACAGACAGACAGACAGACAGACAGACAGACAGACAGACAGACAGACAGACAGACAGACAGACAGACAGACAGACAGACAGACAGACAGACAGACAGACAGACAGACAGACAGACAGACAGACAGACAGACAGACAGACAGACAGACAGACAGACAGACAGACAGACAGACAGACAGACAGACAGACAGACAGACAGACAGACAGACAGACAGACAGACAGACAGACAGACAGACAGACAGACAGACAGACAGACAGACAGACAGACAGACAGACAGACAGACAGACAGACAGACAGACAGACAGACAGACAGACAGACAGACAGACAGACAGACAGACAGACAGACAGACAGACAGACAGACAGACAGACAGACAGACAGACAGACAGACAGACAGACAGACAGACAGACAGACAGACAGACAGACAGACAGACAGACAGACAGACAGACAGACAGACAGACAGACAGACAGACAGACAGACAGACAGACAGACAGACAGACAGACAGACAGACAGACAGACAGACAGACAGACAGACAGACAGACAGACAGACAGACAGACAGACAGACAGACAGACAGACAGACAGACAGACAGACAGACAGACAGACAGACAGACAGACAGACAGACAGACAGACAGACAGACAGACAGACAGACAGACAGACAGACAGACAGACAGACAGACAGACAGACAGACAGACAGACAGACAGACAGACAGACAGACAGACAGACAGACAGACAGACAGACAGACAGACAGACAGACAGACAGACAGACAGACAGACAGACAGACAGACAGACAGACAGACAGACAGACAGACAGACAGACAGACAGACAGACAGACAGACAGACAGACAGACAGACAGACAGACAGACAGACAGACAGACAGACAGACAGACAGACAGACAGACAGACAGACAGACAGACAGACAGACAGACAGACAGACAGAAATTCATTTTTATATACATAGATAGATGATAAAATAATTGTCATTGATCGATCAGAAAAAAAATTTTACCTAAAGTGCCATCATGTCACGTACCTAAGTCCAAATTTCACGCATTTTTGAAAAATTCCGAAATAATTTCCACATTACATTGAACTTAGCTGAACATGTGTGTATGACAAAATATAAATTTTAAATATATCACAATGCATCACAAAATGTTGGCAATGCGCGGAGTATGACACTGCGTTAATTTATGACACTTCACGGTAAGCAGTATCACATTATTTGGGAGAAAAAGGTACACTGCAGACATAAGACAAATAAACTTAAGAATTCCATAAGAACCACTTGTGATTTTTCGCCACAAGAATTTATTATGGAAACCATAAGTCAAATTCATAAGTTAGCTTTCAAACTTAAAAAAAGTATTATTAAATGGAGCACACTGGATTCAAACCTTGAGTGTTCAGATTATTGAGTCCGTGAGTTAGGGTCACTTCTATCAACGCTTGGGAAATCGGATAGGCTAAAGGCGTACAAGAAGCACCTAATGTACTACGATAGTCATTCAAAAGTCGTGTTTATGGAATTCATAGGTGTCATATGCAATCAAAATTGTACAGGTTCATAAGTCATGCCTTATAGAATTCTTAAATTTATTGGCCTCAATGTAAAATATACGTACACTGATAAAATAGAACTAAGAATTTCATTAGGCTCGACTTATGAACAACATACATGAATTTCATAAGCGTGACTTATGAATGATTTTCGGGTAACATGAGGTAGCTCTTATACGCCTTTAACCATTTCATTATCCCAGGCGTTGAAAGACGAGTGGTCAAAACACGGGCCCCCTAATCTCAACGTCCATTTTCCGGTTACATTATTTTTTTTTGTCAAAATTATTTTTCATAAGGCAAATCAATGAAATTCACACTCATTTCTTATGGCTAAAATTCATAAGTTTTTCTTATGGAATTCTTTTTTTTTTATATATCTTTATTAAGGAGACTTTCAGCCCTGGGCTGGTTCGTCTCCTTATGGAATTCTTACGCCTGCGTGTAAAGTTCAATGTATCGGCTATAATTTCAAGTGTTCATTATGGTGTGAGCCATGTTTATCAGTGCTCGGTAGCTTGGTATATCGGACTGTATTGAAAAAAAAAGACACCCACGCTTTGACACAGTTGAGACACAGATGATGATGATAATCGTCTCTTCTTGTACTTAAGCTTATTACGTCCCCGCTGGAACACCGGCTCTCAACTAAGTATTCTTTGAGCACTTTCAATGCTCAATGAATGAATGCTTTCTAAGCCTGTATCATTTTTGCATTAGTATAGGTACTCTATGCCCAGGGAAGTTCTTGCTTTATAGAACTGCACCTTTACCGACTGAACTAAAAGAGGCTCCCATGAAAGTCGTCCAGCATCAACTGGCGCATACAAACACCGACCAATCACTGCATTACTTGTAATAAAATAAAAATTCCTCGTAAATTGGCAGCAGCTTCAACAGTGTCGAATGCAACCCATGTACCACCGTACAAATTAATCCATGATACCTTCCATTAGCAATCTACAGTTGGCAAATAAGTTTCAACATTTGTCCATCCCTTCCTTTCACCAGCCACGCAGATTCTGGTACAGCAGATCAACGGGAAAAACGGAGCACTAGCATAGCGGAGGGCAACTCGGCTGCGGCGGCGGAGTGAAAAAGAGGCCCGTCTCCGAAAGATGGAGGACAGCAAACCACTCTTCGAGAGCAAACACTGTCTCTCGCTAAAATGTGTTCTATTTCTATTCTATGGAGGTGGGTACTGTTGCAGTTGAAATGTTCATTTTTAAAAATAAATCATGTAATCCATCATCACTCGCAAACCGCCCACCGTCTTCCGTTGCAGGCTTGGGATGTATCTATCCCTTCCTCCAGTCCAACATGGCCCACAAGGGGTTTGACTTCAACGAGATCTACTCGATATCGGTCATCATTCCGATTGCGGCCCTGTTCGGCCCACTGGTGTTCGCCGTGCTGGTGGACAAATGGGCCACAACGAGTGCCTTTGCCTATGGCAAGCGGGTTCGCATCCTGACGGCGGTGAGTTTGATCGCATCGATCGTGCTCTACGTGATACTGATGTTCGGCGTCAGTCGGATGGCTCCGCCGGAAATTTGTGCCCCCCGGGTGAACTTCATGTGCAACAAGAAGGGAGCGTACCTGATGCAGGAGAAGTGCACCGCCGAAGGGATCTGCCACGATTGGGATCACAATAAGGTGAGTTTTATTTCGTAAATTTTAGTTTCATTATGGACAATGGTGGCTCTAGGCATCATACACACATAGGGCATCATAGGGGCACAATCCCAACGATAGCGATCAGTTTGATTGGTATAGTGTTACGGGATGTAATGTCAGCCTAGCCCCTCACTTCGGCCTATCAACCAAATAACTCATTAATTCAGCAATAATACACAATGGTAATGAAAAACTAATACCACCTCTGCTGTGAAATTGTAATCCGTAAATTATTTGCCTATATTTGGGACAAATTTAGAACATTTATTGCTCTTTTTCAAAGAAAAAGTTCAGTGAAAATTTCATATTTTTCGATTTTTAGGTGCCATGATCTTACCGGATTACCGCACTAACGAAAATCTACACAGCGGTGGTCATCAAAAAACCTGAAAATTCCCTGAATTGAAAGGACTTACCTTTTTGTAACATGCTATCCTAATAAATCAATATCAGGGGAAACATGTCAGAATGGTCTAACGCAAAACGTAAACAATGACTTGGATCGTCGGATTCTTACGAATGACAACACAACCATTCAAACTAACGAAATCATCTGACAGATCAATGTTTGTTTTATGAGCTGGTGAAGTTAGATTCCGTAGGTGTGTGGTCATTAGACTGATGCAAAATTTGAAATTTTCGCTCCACAATGCTCAAACGGTTTCAAATCAGCTCCTGATTAGCTTCCCAAAAGTTAAACTCATTTGGAAAGAAACTGACTTGGCACAAACTATTCGAAGTTTATATGGAAATTACTATGGGAAATCCAAACTTTTTGTTCATTGTCTTCTGCCCATTTTCCATATGGCTTTTTCTAAAAATTTTATAATTATTCTTACCGGAAGTTTTCTAAGCTACAACTTTGCCGAATATCGTTTTTCAGCCAAATGTCAAATTAAATTGTTATTAATTGTTTAAGAGATAATCTTATGGCATGATCAAGCAGCTGTTCTGTGGGCAACACTGTATTCTGCAGTGTGACATAGTAGCCATGATTTTTGTGCTCTATTCTACGCGCTAGAAACACCAATGTTGCCTGCTGAACAGTTGAATGAGCATAATCATAAGACATCAGTGACTTGAATCATTAATAACTTTTGTTCCTTACATTTGATTGAAAAGTAGTTGTCAACAAAGTGGAAGCTGAGAAAATTTGCTACAATCACTGTTATCATTTTTAAAAGCATGTGATGTGGTGAATTGTTAGATCGATATGAACAAAAACATAACTTTTCCCATAGTAATTCCCATATAAACTTGAAATGGTTTGTGCCAAGTCAGTTTCTTACTAAAGTAGTTTAAATTTTGGGAGGCCAAGCAGGACCCAATTTGGAACCGTTTAAGCACTGTGGAGCGAAAATTTCAAATTTTGTATCAGTCTAGTGGTCATTCAATAGAAATCGACGTTCAAAGTCATTGTTTATGTTTCGAATTATACCCTTCTGACATGTTTCCCCTGATATCACACTTGTCACTCTTACTGCAAATTTAGAATATTTAACGGTTCAGCGATTTATAACTATGGACCGAACATTAGGGACGTAATGTTGATGCTTGTACCCAATTAATAACTTTGTTTTCGTATTGTTGAAACCATTCGCGTTTCGGATCGTTTCTTATCCTTTCACTCCACCAGAGATGCCAGTCTGCGAAAAATGTCTGTGAATTTCAGAAATGTCTGTGAATTTCAGAAATATGTGTAATTGGGCTGCATAAAATTAGCAGAAGTGTTGCGTAGGGGTCATGAAATAGATGCGAAATTTTAAATGTCAGTAAAATTCATGTTCGACCACAAAAGTCCTGCTTTTAACTCTTCGACTACCACACCTAAATCACACTTTTCACTATTTTTGTAATATCTTCGGTAAATTTTCATGTATTTTTTATATTGTTATCTTGTTGGAAAGGGTATTAATTTTCCTTTTTGATGGTTTGATTGAGCATAGCACACAATGACGAGTTTGATAGTTAATCAATCTTTTGGTTTTTCAGTTTTTGTCGAGTCGGTAGACATGTCGTTTCAGCAAGTTGAAGTTGATCGGTTTGTCCTTTTATATTTTTTCCTGAAAGCCTACAAAAGTATCTAATAGAATGCACCATGCACACATTTTTAATTGCCCTGCAGAATGAATAATGACCTTCCAAAAATTTTGTTATAATTTGGTAATCCTGATTTTATGAAGCTATGACACAATCAAGGAGCGTGGATAACAAGCTAATAAAAAGATTAGGATGTGACCTATCCAACGGTATTAAAACATTTGAAAACGGATAAATAGCGACTGAGATACATCATTTTGAAAAAAATGTCGACTTCATTTTCAGTGTGGTGCCCGAAGAGTTAACGAATTGAGCCTAAATGGAGTTACGCCGAATACGTTAAAAGCAATTAATAAAAAGTAGAAGGGTCTGTGCCTAGGGGCACGAACGAAAGCTTGACGTAGGACCGCTAGTGTACGGAGTAAATGTAGAGCATTTAGTACTTTTAATTGATCAATTATCTATTATCTCAACTCTTTCCGTTTTTGAATTGTAGGCGTACCAAATTTGCAGTAATCTTTTTCAAAGAGAAAGTTGATTAAGAGAATCAATCAATCACTTGCACCCCTGCTTCCAAGTTTGGTTACAAAATTACAACTCTGGAGAGCATTTTGTGTGGTCGTTGGGGGCTATTCCAACTCTTTACTGATGTAAGCTTGATTGCCCTGAAAAGGGCTGTTTTATTAAAGAGGACATCCATGGCCAGCACATCACGCATCACAGCATCACGGACCTCATTTTCCAGGAACACCTTCAGCACACCTCGTAGATCAGACTGGAGATACGTTTGACACCACCACGGCGAGCCAGACGACCGATGGCGGTTATCTCGAAGAACTTTGCGATGACACTTGGCACCTCCTTTATCAGACCTTTTCCTCCTTTGCCACGACCAGTCAATTGTTGCTTGTTGGTTGTGAAGGAGTGGACTAGCCACCACCTTCCTACTGCTGCTATTGCTGCTCACCACGCCGTCCGAAGCGAAAATGAGCTAATGCCATACAGCAGCGCTCTTTTATATCTTTTCAGGTTAAAGCAGAATGATGTGCAACCAAGTGGTATAAAAGCTACCAAGACTCCTCCCATTATGATTAGTTTGCTATCAAGTAGCGACAAAGGCAAATTTGAGTTTAGTAAATTTGTCTCTTGGTTTGCTATGGATAACCTAAAAAATCTGCCAGAAAATGATGAAATTGTCGAAAATATTATTCAGTCTCGGAGTAGTACCAATAGACTGAGTGAATCCAATCTTTACTTGTCTCAAATTCGGGAATTTTTCCCTGGAAAATCCTGGAAAAACCTGGGAAAACATGAGGCAAATTTACTCATCGCTGAGTTCCTGCACTTTATTTCTTATTTCTGAGATAACTAAACTCAAATTTGGGTCGTTCTCATTCGCCGTGATATCACCTTGAAAGATATCGGCGCCGGTGGTTAGTATGATTTCCTCTCACCCCAGCAGGCCTGGGTCCAATCTCAGTCGGCGCCACCGGCATGTTCTAAGGCATAACATCTCTGATCACGCCTTCCTTCGGGAAGTTAAGCCGTTGGTCCCCGGTTGAGTTGATGGGTCGATTGGTAGGGTCCAGGTGTGGGAGCTGCCTCCCATTTGGTTGCATTCAGTAGCATTGGAGCTCAGTACGGAAAAAAAAATCTCACGTCACTTTTCAATAGGTCCTATCTACATTGATCGATTCTCTTCATCGACACTCTCTTTCCTAAATAACTCGGCTTCACAAATGTTTCCTGCCGTCTTCGTCAAATTAGATGCTAGATTGTTGCTTCTTCCATTGAAAATATCCGGCCGTGGCGATTCAAAGATGATGAAGGTTGATCAAAATAATTTGTACCCCTGCTTCCAGTTTGATTACATGAGCATTTTTTGTGGACGTTGGTTCTGAATATGGACAAACAGGCAGATGAATTCTATTCCTACTCTTTACTGTAATAAGCTTGGTGGCCCTGAAAAGAGCCGTTTTGTTGCCAAAGTTGGTGATGATTTAACCTCCAAAACCAAACAGAGTGCGTCTCTGTCACTTCAAAACGTAGATGACATCCATGGCCGCTTACGCTTGGCGTGTTTAGTGTAGGTGACAGCATCACGGATCTCATTTTTCAGAAACACCTTCAGCACACCTCGTAAATCAGACCGGAGATACGTCAGACACCGCCACGGTGAGCCAGACGACGGATGGTGGTTATCTTGAAGAATTTGCGTTTGGTTTTGAATATGGCGATGAGTGTGCAAAATATTACGCAATTCCATCCTCCCTATTCGCACGCGCCCGAAGATCGGAGGCGAATGCCACTTCGACTTGTTTCGTCTACTTACTACTCTCTGACGACTGTGCTGGGGAAGCAGCATATGCATGTAGGTAATTGGTGGATTTGTTAGTTAATTCGACGCTTTTGGACAATGCTGGACATTAACCAGTTTTTCAAAAGTTTCTTGTTGAAAATCAACATTAGGAAGCATTGTTATCGATGCGTAGACATATTTCTGATCGATTGATGATAAAATTATTGAAATTGGACCAGGGGCAGCTGAGTTATTAACGTTCAAAATCTTTCTCAATTTGTTACATGTTCCATTTTCGGTTTTCACAAAGTGTACCCCCATATAGAAATCAAAGACGTAGTCCTACGTCAAAAAAGATAAATTACGATTACACAACAAATGAGGTCGACTCCATGTTGAGATTAGTTCTCGCGTAACATTTGAAAAGGGCCTATCCTCGTTGATCGATTCTCTTCATCGAGTTTCTTTTTGGTTTACCACGGCAACATTAACGAATTTCTCGCTAAGCTCGCAGCACAGTTCGACAGAAGATGATGTTAGCTTGCGCCTGAAACAACACACTGAATGGGAAATTCATTTGCAGTCGGGTTATTCGCGAAAGAGAAAATCGACGAAGAGAATCGATCAACAATCATTGGCC